TCGCTTCGCCACGAGAAATCGGTAAATTGCTTCTTTGAAATGCCGGAAAAGCCGGAGGGAACGGTTTCCTCCGTAGTTCCTCAGGCGGCTCCTTCGTCCGTAGAACCGGAGCAAGCGTCGTTGCACGCTCGATGATCCGTGCGCTCTTTGACCGATTCTTTCTATCTCTCTTTCTCTCCTCGTTTCGGTTCGACCGCGAATTTGGAACTCGTGCCTCGTTACTTGAAATTCTGCCCCTCTGTAGCTTCCATTCTCTAACAGTTGTGGAGAGAAGGTTTGTCGTTCGATCGTAGCGAACGACGAATGGATTAGGGATGATTGAAAAAGGGTGTTTTAATTATTGGTCGTATTTAATTTAATATTAATATAATATATATAAATATTTTGAACAGTGAACCGCCTGAATCGAGGAATTTAAGAGTGCAGAGATTCACAAAAGATATATAAAATATCTAAAGTATAACATTTAGTATTAACTCGAGCTTACGTTTCTTTAGTAAGAACGCATAAATTTATTCACTGTTTATTTATTACGAAATTAAATTTTTATTAATAGTGCAAAATCGTAGAAGAATTTCACCATTTATACTCTCTTCACTTAGAAATCGTGAAGTATATACATTTACATACATATAATAGAACCTTTGTCGATCTTTGATCAAAGTAGTAAGGTTCAGATAAGAAAGATTGTAACGGCAGAAACATAAAGGCATTGCAGGGCAATCGTAAAAATGATTTTGGCGTGTCGAGAAAGGGCCAACCGAGTGACAGGTTCGTGCAATCCTCCCGACACGACGCGACGGTTAAAGCGAGAGCGACGGAGGTCAGGCTGATTTTTATTCAGGCACGCGATCGTGCTCATAAGGCGGACGGAATTGCCGGTTCGAAGTTTGAGATTTTCTGCCGCCACTTCTCGTCTCTCCGGCCGCGGGCCTCTCGCCTTCCTTTTTTCATCTCTCTTACACGCAGTCCTCCTGACTTCTGACACGCGTTTCAATTGGGATGGTTGCCAAGGAAACCGAGGAACCGGAGTGTCACGCGGACTATTGAAGAGGTTAAAGGGGACTGCGATTCCTTTTGCGACGAGCACGCTGGAAAACCCGATGACAAGTTCCCCCTATTCTTGACCAAATTACGAAGATGGTCTGAAAACACTTTCGCGTCAGACATGAAGATTTCATTTTGTCAATCGGTTGCTCGGACAGATGGTTTCCTTTATACGTTTTCTTTGAAAACGATTATTAAATATCATTTGGGTTTCTTGCACCGCATAGAAAGATATTCGAACGCGAGAAAGGGATTCACCGAACGCGGTGGAAAAGTATTTCGCAGGGATTGCACGGCTCGATTATACTTTTAAATTCCCGTTTCGCGGCTATTGTAAGAGGCGGCTTGCTCGTCCCCGCAAAAAAAAAGCGAAATTTTTTTCGTTCCGCCCTGAAATGGCTCGTGCGAAATTGATAATAGCCACCACCTAGCCAAATAAATTCTCCTCCCGCTGTCCGTTTTCCCTCGCGAGACCCTTTCGAAAAATCGTTGCTAACCAGCTCTCAGTTCAAACCTAAATACTACACTGCGGACTTTCGTGAAAACATGCAACACATTGAAAGTAAAGGGCAATCGTCGCAACAGCTTTTAATACGGTGAAAGCAGATTTTTGCTGAAGCTTCGTTTCTTCGATCACGTTTGCAAAAGCGTGAAATCACGAGCGGTTTCTCGAATTGAATTACCCTCGATCTCACTCGAGGCTTTTAACGAACCCCGTGACGATGATATTTTTTAAAACGGTTTGTGTCTTTGCGAATTAACCTCGACTCGGGTGAGAGTCTCGACTACTTGGCTCGCGGACGGGCGAAAACGTCTGAATGGCGGCGAGGGTAAGGGGTTGAAAGGGGTGAAAAGGGGCCGCACGGCACACGGTCGGACAGCCGGAAGACCGTTCAGCGCTATTAACAGCTAATGAAAATTAGCTTTCGTCGGTTGATTGAGCGTCAAATCGTCCCTTTCTTGTTTCGGGTGAGAGAAGTCCGCCACCGGTGTCGTTAGACCGACGTACTCCCATTTCGAATCGCAGTGCCCTCCTCGTTCTCCTTTTTTTTCCCCTCCCCGTCCNTCTCTCTCTCTCTCTCTCTCTCTCTCTCTCTCTCTCTCTCTCTCTCTCTCTCTCTCTCTCTCTCTCTCTCTCTCTCTATCTCTTGTTCGTTCAGTCGACTCTATATAGCGACGAAGGAAATTCCGGAGCGAAGTGCTCCAGCTCCCCCTCCCCCGTTTCCGTTGGAAAATCGTTCAGAATCTCGCAGAGCGAACGCGAGCGTCGGTGTTAATCAGTGTCGTCGAATTTGCGAGTCGCGACTCTTGCAGAATTTGCCCTAACATGTAATAGTCTCGCGTCGTATCTTGTTTTCTGTGAGACTTGCCTCCGTTCTCGTGAACGTCAGCTCTCGATCGAGAATCTCTGTAAAAACCGAACGAACAACAATACGTGCAATTTGCTCGTAGAAAATTGGCACTGTATTTTGCGAAATCGAGTTCTTCAAGACGGATCAATAATCGTGAATAATTGTAAATAATCGTGACCATTGCAGGAATTCGTGTTACTATTTTGTCTTCGAATCTCTATTTTCAATCCTCTGTTTTCAAGAATTTTCGTACTCGCGGTAGAATTTGACGTAGAAATACACGTGCCTCGTAGGAAGAATATTTGTTGCTCTTTCTCGGAATGTTACAAATTGTTTCGAGCTTTCGTGGCATTCGACGTTCCACCTTTTTTCTTCGTTTCGCGAAGTAGCTCGTGTCGTTCGCGTGGAACAACGATAAAAATCTTGCTCGTTTGCATAAAAATCTCGCGAAATTTCACCGTATGTTTCAGACTCTGCTACGAGAAAACAGCATCGTTTGCTTCGGTTGCGCAAAGAATATTACGAAGTATATTCAATCGCGGATTTTCCTCGAAGTTCGAAACGGAGAACGTCAAAAATAGGTCATTCGATTTGGTCTCGAAGGCTGATTATTTCGTCGGGCACAATGGGCCGCGTTAATTTCTTAATGGAAACCGCAAGTAATCCCGGCTAGTTCGGGCCACTAGTTACGATCGCGTGTCAGCACAAGGCTTCGTTTAACGCGAGAGCATTATGGCTTTCGAATGTTTAGAAGACGATATAAACGTAGCAGTAATGGACTGCAGAAACGACTATAAAATCCATCTTACGAACCGATGCCGAGCCGTTGCTGCCGAGTCAACTTTGTCATTGATGGCCTCGTGGCCGAGCCGAATTTAATTACACCTAAATTCCTTTCTTAAAGTTCTTTTCTTAATGTTTTACGAACGGGCAGCTGTCGGCTTTATCTATCGCTTCGTTGCTGCGATTCGTTTTCCGGAAAAGAGATGCTAAACGCGTGACATTACGTAACAGGACCATTATTTTGGGGACGTTGGGAACTGAGTGAAAAACATGTAAATTAATCGTAGAGGCAATGCAATATAATTCGTATAATACGTTGGATACGACTCTTATGTAAGAAAAAAGAATGGAACAAAAATTGATACGTTAATGACGTACAGTTTTGCATAAATTGTTTGATAGAGAGAAGATAACGTCAGGATAGAGATTAGATAACTCTAATTGTGAGACTTTAGAATTTCAGACTTTGTAGGCAAGACTATTCTGATGGAGAGAAGAAAAAAGCTACATAATTTTTATAACAAATTTAAAATAATTGCTCGACACTGTTCGGTGATCATCATTAAGTCGAGCATGATCGTTAAGCTTCTATTTACCTAAAGATTTCTTACTCGTCACATTATTTATTTGATATAAATATATTATCAATTCACGTTTCTAAAATATCATCTTCCGTTTATTTAAAGTCTGGATTGAATGTGTTCGTTATGGTGTAGCGGCGTTTCCTTTCGGAATGTCCACTCCATTTTTATGCAGATTGGCATACGAGACGTAAAGACCCTTTCGAGGAGGATAATGTAACTCCTTTGTTTATAACAGATGAGTGTCAGATCTAGCCTTTTTTCCTTCGTCCGCCGGTTAAGCCTGCTCGTCTCCGCGTCTGAATAAACATATCTGATGTCTGTCGGGCCCACCCAGACGGGGCTATTAAAACCCTTATGGGAAAGTCGCTTACATCCGTGAGCTGATTGCGCGGCGATTTTTCGCGAGCGCAGTTTAATCGACACTTGTTCCTCTCTCACCATTGCACTGCACCAGTATCGAGCTATCGAACCGCCCCGGTCTCGCTGCGTTTGCCTGTGAACTCCCTGCAATGCAATTTTCTCAAATTTCCTTCTTAATCTCAGATAATTTCGATTTTCAAATTTTTAAAAATCTTTCATTGACCAAGCAAAATTCTAAATATAAAATTTCAAAGAACAGTAAGTTTTAAGTAGAAGAATGAAAAAGTAATTTTTTTCGAAGCTCTTAAAGAGATTATATTTTTTTCTAGTAACTCTCAGACTTGCAAGAAATATGTGTCTTCGTACTCAAGAGTAAATGTTTCTTTATTTTTCCAACAATTAAACGGTTAAGCCTCTCATTGGACGAATAAAAAATGCCGACGTTTTATCGTTGCCCTCAGGAACACACAAGCATAAACGAGATCGCAAGCAGCGGCCCCGGAAAAAAAGGAGCTACTTCTTTGGAAGATGTCTCGGGGTCAAGCACGTCAAGTTTTTTACGATCTCGTGGAGCTGCGACGTGTAGACGTTGCAGAGAGTGTCTCGTCATGGAGGGTGTTGCAGGCAAGAAGATACACTTGTTCTCTCTCTTTTTTTTTTTGTTTTTTTTTTTTTTTTTTTTTTTTT